TCCATTAAATCAGGTATTTGTAACTTTGATTCTTGAAAATTCTAAAAATGACTAAATAAATAGGAGGAGATGGAAATCAAAAACCATTACTCAAAGAAAAGCAACATCTTGGCCAAATAAAAAAATTCAAACAAGCTAAATTAGGCCGTTAGTTTTCTCAATTGAATTGTTTCATATTTTTCATCTCGGGGCCTTTTATAGCCGACTATACGGTATGGGTTTTCTCATTGTTGAAGGCCGTACGGCTGCCTATAATTGCTTACATCCACTTCATTTGAACTTTTGTGGATAGTTGTCTTATTTGCAATCATACAACAACTCCTTATCTTTATAAAGACGAACTTGACAAAGGAATAAGTATGTTCAATAACATTAACGGTAATAATTGCTTTCAAGATTTCAACCACAAGAGGATATGAGAGATTAGAGGCCTTTACCGGTAGGAATGTAAAATCCAAACCACCAAATTGCTTTGTGCAACGTCCCCATGCAAATATAGTCTCACTGGTCAAGTTTAAGTAACCACATGGTTTCTGACCCTTCCATAAAACACGATGTTGTAAATGCTTTATCCTATCTTCACGCAAACGAAGCATCAAACAGTATTGTTTTTATATGCATTGTCATTATTTGGAATGTCACACTTAAAAGCGTGGAATTCACAGCAAAACTTGAAAACCAACATTTACCCCTATATCATTCACGAAAGAGGATATTTTAGAAAAATCACAAATCCGTCATTCTCTCCTTTGGGATTAACATTAAACAGAACCATGCAAATCTCCCATCTTTATACTTGATACCTAAACTTCACTACATTCCTTATAAAGAACGATATATAGTTGGGTCGTCGATATGTTCGACTAAATATATTTCTAAAGTTTACGATACTAACCTTCTACAATAAAAGAGGTCTTTAGAGATATTGTAATGAAATGTATTCAACCAGCGGTGTCAATCAGATGTGGATCATTAAAAATTCGAAATATCTACCTTTGATTTTTCTGCTCTTTACACAACCATTCCCCATGCTCAATTGAAAGATTGACTACATTGTCTTATTAAGCAGAGCTTTTTTTCAACTAAAAAGTGAAACGTAGATAAAATTCCTTCTTGTATGCCATGAAAAAAATCTTACTTTGTAAAGATCCACACTGATTTCTACAACAACTTCACAGAAGTTGATATTTTGAAAATGCTGGTCTTTTTAATCGACAACTTCTTTTTGGTGGATTGATATTCAAGCAGACAGTCAGTATTGCAATGGGTGTTTATTGTGCAATTACTGGTCGATTTGTTTTTTACTCATATGAAGCATAATTCATACATAACCTTCTCAAAGACAAACAGTAAAAGCATTTGGCAAATTTCATTCATTTCACCTTAAGATATGTTGATGATTTTCTGTCACTCAGTAACCCACATTTCAATGAGTGCGTTCATCTCAGATATCCCAGTGAATTTGAGATTAAGGATATCACCGAAGGTAGAAAGTCTGCTTCATATCTTGATCTTTTCTTCGATATTTACACAGATGGACGACTTCAAACTAGAATCTATAACAAACTTCCCATTTCTGAGCAGAAGCATAGCCTCTGCTACATCGTATGGTGTTTACATATCTCAATTAGTACGTGGCGCTCGTGCATATTCACAATATACAAAAATCATTAACAAGGATGTGCTCCTTACAGAATAATTGCTCCAAATTCCGCGGAAAAACGACTGAAATCAACACTACATAAGTTTACGGTAACCATCACGAATTTTCAACTCACTTTCGACATGTTTTTGCGTTCTTAGATCTTTTGGTACCAGTATAGTCGTCTGGTCTGTAATTAAACACATTGTGATATATTTTCAATCATGACATTTTGACTGAGTGTGAATTCGCATTGCTGGTAATGCACGCATAGCAAGAGACGATTACCCTGTCGACTCACTCGGTCTCACTGCTTTTAGAGTTCATCCGATTCCCTCAGTTTTTGTTTGCATCCTTGATTTGTCTCTTTCCAACTGATTTACGAAATTCGAAAATCGGTAAACTACTGTGCATTTAATTTATTTCACCAGATGTGCATTTCGACAACTAATGTATTTTCAGTGATGCTTAAAGCTCAAATTTTCGAAAATAAAATTCTTCACAAACTCATTAAAGGACTGATAAAACTAAAAATTTTAAAAAGTAGAATCAAAACTGGAGAAGAAATCAGAACTATGTATGAGAGAGAAATAATCATTAAATTTAAATGATTTCCCAAATTTTATAACATACCATTTCATTAAAACAATATCCGCATTTTAAGAAATCTAGAGGTTATTATGTATTAAACCATTGTTGTGACGTCAGCCTATTCGTTTACCGTGGATTCTTTTTCTAGAATCAACGCTTCCTAATATGTCGAAGAAATGGACTCACCAACTAAAATACACCTGTGACGCAAATCTTTTATTTAGACTCCATTATTTTTCAGGAATGGAGAGTTTTTTTCTATTGTCCATCTTCATTCATCCGGACGTTTTGCCCTTTGGGTATTTCCATGGGCACTTTCTAAAAAAGTGTTCACCTATGGAAATATTTCCAAAGGACGTAACGCGATATTGAATGAAGATGAAAACTTACTAAACTGGCTGATATTAAATGGATTTTTTTTTAAAATTGGGATGAGTAATGCAATGAACACCAAATATCTCATTATTGATAAACAGCTTTTATTTGCGAGTCGTATTTCTATCGTATAATATATAGTATCGTTTTCACCAAAATTCCACATCATTATCCACAATTTGTTTTCCGATGCAAATCTTGGCTAAATTTCTGTCACGGATAGTATCCAAGCGGGTAAAAAACAAATATTTTCCATTGAGTGCCATTCCTCTCCTGTGCATCTACAAAATATAAAATGTGTTTACTCAGATTCTTATGTTATATTGAACACATTAACATTAAACAATAAGGAAAATTAGAAAACAAATATTTCACTTACAGATTTGCTTTTAATTTTACCGTTTAAGATATCATCTGCTTGAAATTTAGTGTCGTATTTTGCTTTTGTACAGCAAAAACGGTTTGTTCCATTTTAATATGTACATTAAAAAAGAAATATTACTCAGAAAGTTTCTACAATAATATTGTGGTTAAATAGAATAAGTAGTTCAAGAAACTGAAATGGTCAAAATGGCGTATTAGGTATATTATTTGATTTATCATTGTTATAATTTGAATATGGTACTAATGAATAGAATTTGAGGGGTATGAATAACATTTGAATAAGGCTTGCGTTAAATATTGGACGGGATTTTATTCAATTTTCAACAGAAACACGAAACACAATCGAATTCCTTCACTGTTATATGTCCAGTAGAAAATATAACAGTTATATCGGCAGTGCAAATGACAGCGTTAATCTTGAAATGTTTAAATGAAATCTAAAAGTAGTTTTCCACTAAAGTTAAAGACAAACAAAACGCAATCTAGAAATGTTTTTAATCACGCGTTTTTTTTCCCTAAAATTGTTTGCCTCCTCTCTGATAATAGGGAAGAATGAAAACATATTTTCAGTTTGCTTGTATTGTTATTTGAATATAAATATTTCCATGCATAACATTTATGTCAAGGGAGCTGAAAAAAAAATCGTTGGATTATGCATGAAACATGAAACACTGTTTTCTTGTTTAATTTTATTTGATGTAATAGAATGGTTTGAAATATAGAATCATATTTTGTTTCAGATATGACTTCAAATCGAGCACATCCTTATCAGTTAAATAACCTATACTAGAGTGTTACATACCTGGAAATTTATTCTAGTTGTACCATGTTATTTTTCTCAGACGATTATACATTAATCCATAATCCATTAACATATGTGCATGAATATTAGTGTTTTCTCTCTCCCGAAATACCACTTAAAGACACAAAAAAATCCTTTTAATACCACCACAAGAGAGACGTGCGTATCCAATGACTTAAAACATAAATCTAGACTAACTTTATTCAATATCTTTTTATAGTTATCATTGTACTGTTCATAAAAACTTCGTTAAGTGAGTAGATGGGCAGCTTGATCTTAAATTTGCCTGTGGATTATTGGGTACACCACGGGGAAAATGAAAAGAAAACCATTACAAAATGAAATAAAATTCTTTAAAATGTTATAATCTAAAGATTCGTTCTCAATATTTAAGGTGTATTTTAAGTTAAGGAAAGTCCAAATAACTGTTCATTCCTGGGAAATAATAGGCGTCGGCCCTCCGGCCCTCCGCTCCATTATTTCCCAGGAATGGACAGTTATTTGGATTTTCTCTATAACATCATATTCAGTTGTTTCCTTTGTGTGACTAATTTCATTAAGTTTCAATAATGGAATTAATCTAAAAATTTTAATATGCCTTCACTGAGAATCGAACCCCTCCTTGAAATCTGTTAGGTTTGACTGACATCAACACATCTACGAAACCTCTCGGCTACCAATGGGTTGGAATTTAGATGTTCATTATATATATATAAATGAACATATGATACACATCGGTACAATGGACACACAGGGATTGTACCTTTATATATACATAATAGTAATCGTATAGTATAAATTGGTTGCCACAAGGTTATGATCCATGAGAGTCAAGCTAGAAGTAGAGACTTGTCGGTTAAGGTTGACTGTCCCTCTGGTATCTTTCGTCCCTTTTTTCGAATACCTGTTTTTTCTCCGTTGTCCCTATTCTTTAGTTTTTCCGTTTTTCCATATTTTGTATGTTATTGTGGATATTTTTGTAATAAAAGTGGGGTTTCCCATCTATTTTTTGGATTATTATAGGCTAATTCACGTATTTGAAAAAAAATGATTACATTCAATTTGTGCATTTTTGGTTTTTATATATAGTATGATTTTATCTGTTTTACTTTATATCTTTACAAATGTTTATTTGCAAATATCTATGCGAGTAAATTGTGATGTGCCTGGAATCAGGTTTCTTGCTAGAAATTTCGGTAACATACTTATTATATATACTTAAAGATAAGTTCGAATATGTCTTATTTTGTGAATAACGGATAATATTCAGATGCATAATAATTCAAAGACAGACGTGTTATGTTATATTTGTATTTCTCTCACCAATAAACGTAAACTTAAATTTATCAATGTAGCGTCGAACATGATAACAGGGTTATTTATACTCACTTACAATACCTTCTAATTTAGAAACGGCATTAATTTTGAAAAGACATCAACACAATAGTGCAAGTTATAGATACAATGCATAAGCGTTGATTCATGTTATATTTGTATTTCTCTCACCAATAAACGCCTCCGGGCGCATGGTTTCTTTTTCAAGAATCAACGCTTAATCATTGCATCTATATTACGTACGTATTATTAGAGATTTCCAATAAAATGACATACGTACCTAACTCGACGTACGCACGTAACGGGATCGGTTATTGCTAACCTATTAATTTTGTTAAATGCGTCCCTAAAGTTTTAACTTAGTATTCCTAAACTATTAAACCCATGAATGATAAATTTTATCAATATCAAGTATTTCTAAGATGATGAAAAATGAAAGAAATCATCATTTTTATATATCACGTGATTATTGAGATTCCCGCCAAAACTTTGCTGTCATAAGACCACGTATATACACGTATCTTTACCTATCATACGATTGATTTGAGTTGTCTTTCATGGTTTTGACCATGACTTTGTTCTTCGATATACTTTGCAAATGAACCTTCTATTATTTAATATTTGACATGCTTTTATTTGTCGTTATCAGATTGGTGTCCCTTTTTCCTTTCGTCTCTTAATGTTTTAAAATATTTAATTTCCGTAGGTATTTATTTTTAGACAGATTTTTCTAGCAATTTCAGAAATATCGAATTCAAAGTGTTAGTCAAAATTTGTCTCTGTTAAAGTTGGGATTGCGTCATACATTTATTCAGCATCATTTCAAACGTTCTCTTCTTCTGTAGTTTATCTTGTTTATTTATAATCTCCGATTTTCCCCAGGTACGACAAAGGGATGTGTATATTTAAAAAAAAATTAGTACAGGTCTTGTACTTCTTCTTTAAATTTTAATAGTTTCAACTAACATTAGAAAAAAAAAAGAATTTTGTAAATAATAATGATATATGTAAATAAGTGTGTACACCAATTCGTTATATAGATTGTAATTTGGAAGGTGTACTTGATTAGCAATTGATGACTAATCTGCATATAAACATTGACCGCTTTGGATAGTAAACTATCAATTTATAGTACATAGTAATTGGCTAAAAAATGTCCTGTCCCAAAATATCTCTGATTAAAAGTGGATGAGAATGCCAATTTATATACTTGTTACATTTTTTAACTATAATGCCACTTCAGTTTAGTTGTTTTTATTTTATTTTTGGATTAAGACAAGTCTTACTAATCCAATTAGAATTGGATTCTAAAACTATCACATATTGATTGAGTAAATAAAAAATTTGGAGTTTCAATTTTTGTCTCGCCTTAGAGGTATATATTTATATATAAAAGTTTAACTCTACGACTTATCCATGCATAGTATCACCAGTGAAGATGATACACGGCTGAAAACACATTTTATATTCATATTTACTTTAAATATGTATATATTCTTTATGTGCCTGTCCCATGTCAGGAGCCGGTGGTTCACTTGTTGTCGTTGGTTCATATCTGTTATATTTGTTTTTCGTAAATTTTTTTGTTTTAAATCAGGCCGGTAATTTCTCTATTGAATTGTTTCATATTTTCCAAGTTGGACCCTTTTGAAGTCGACTATATGGTATGGATTTTTCTCATTGATGAAGGCCGTACGATTGCCTATCGTTGCTTACATCCACTTCATTTCTTATTGGCAATCATACCACATCTCCTTAATATCTTTTAACTAAATACGTTGAATATTCTCAGATAATTTAACATGTAAGAATCAGCTTTCAGTACCTGGGGGTACTTTAAGATCGGTACTCTCTGTCTTTCATCATAAAAATGTAATTGTTTTGGGCTTAATTCAAATTTGATTAGTTGAGCTATTTCAAACTGAATTTTACAGGTTTTTTTCTTACATTGTGCTGTTACACCAGAGTGTTGAGCGCTGATAAACGCGTTTAATCAAACCAAATTCTATATTGGCTTTCCCAAGTCAGGAGCTTTCAATTCAGGAGATGTCGTTGGTTACGTTCTGTCATTTTTGGGTTATTTTTACTCTTGTAAAAATATTTATTTTCGTTTGAACTGTTTACATTTTTCAAAGTCAATGCCTTATATACACTAGTATCTGATAATACGGTATGAGTATTTGCTTATTGTTGACAACAGCACGAGCCACTGTAGTCGTTATTCACGCCATTTAGACTCTGTTTGATAGTGTGGCGCTCCACACGGATCCAGGTATATACATGTCGGAGTGTAAGGAATAAATCGGAAAAAAATGCATGCTAAGAATACTTATGCTTTTGAAGAGAAATTGAAAATATTTGCTGAAAGGACAGACTGGCGGACGGACAGGACAGACAGGGTGATTGTAATATGAGTGCGGGTACAATATTTTGTCAGTTTATGTATCTTAGATGCTAGTGGTAAGGAAGTCTGGATCAAAACGGGGTAATCTTTACTTGTTAAAAACATTTTATACTATTTAGAATAATAATTGCATGCCTACTGGATATTAATACAATAGCAAGTGGAAGCTCTGAAACACCATTTTACAGTAAAAACTGAGCTTTTTGATACAGAGAAACAAGGAGAAAAATCAAATAAATTAAAATAAACAAGTATTGCTGGAATAATAATATATGCACATAAAGCATAAAATATATGTAATATTTATCGCTGGATATACGACAAACATCCGTTTCATCATCATCATCATTAATTATTAAAGCTTGAGGCTAAATCTTCGTCGTATGTATTATAGCTTGAGGCTAAATTCTTATCTGATATTTTAGCCAATTTATGGCGAGAACTTATTTTACGCATGCATCTCTTTGCTACATAGGTTTTGTAAATGTCCAAGTTAAGGCCAATAGAGATCATAGAAGTATGTTTATCAAATGATCATGTCTACTCATAATTAAAACAGTAAGAAAGGGAGTGACTCGTCCGACTAAAACGAAGCACAAAAACAGCAATTACTAGTATTTCCAAATAAACTCCATGTGCCGATCTTAGATTATTCACAGCTACTGAACACATCTTAAAAACAATTACAACTAATAATCCAGTCTAGAATATTAATCAATTATTTCGTACTGTTACACCACTGTACCAGGTAAGTGCGCTAACATGTTTAACCCCGCCACATTATGTATGGCTGTGCCTGTCCCAAGCCAGGAGCCTGTAATTCAGTGGTTATCGTGCTGTTGCTGTGATTTTGTTCGTTTTCTGTACATTAATTAGACCGTTAGATTTATTGTTTTACATTTGTCATTCTGTGGTCTCTAAGAGCTGACTATGCGGTATGGGCTTTGTTCATTGTTGAAGGCCGTACGGTGGCCTATAGTTGTTAATTTCTGTGTCATTTGGTCTATTGTGAAGAGTTGTCGTATTGCAAATCATACTACATCGTCTTTTTTTACATATCACAAATGTAGTATAAAAAGTACATAAACAGTCTAGAAAAGCAAGACCTTTTGTCATGTCAAAAGCACAGAGTGTTTGTAGGACCATTAGTGTTCATAACTGTATAGCAGATTATATGTAGTTTCTATAAAATGTAATAATAATTTATCGGCAAAAGATCCATGATGATTTGTTAGTGGAATTATATATAAATAAATAAATAAATATTCATTATAAAAAGAAACATTAGAAACAAGATTATTTGTCCATTAGATTGCACGCCAGTATCACATTTTCGTGTTAAGTGAGCTCTAAATCCAGGAAAAAATCCAATTCAGTATGTAGTCTTAAACTTTTAAATCTCAAGCGAGATGTCAAATGGTCAAACATTGTTGTTTTTAAAACGTATTTATCAAAGTCAAACGACAATCATTATATTCTTTTTGGTGCTATACAATTTTTGATTAAGACTGGATCCAAGATATTTGAAAAAAGGCGTAGTTCCCGATAATTGAATTCATACTGCCGAGCGTAGCGATTCAAAATAAAAAAAAAACATTTGGACGATTTAGTACTAAAAATTTGTATAGATAACGTGGAAAACGTGAGATTTTCAAAATTATTTGGCGATCGAAAGGGGGGAGTACCCCCTCTTACCCTGTATCCCCGAATGCATGTTAGGTATACATGGACAAAAACCTCGTCCCATGCATTATTATAGTTAAAGACGAAAAAGTACTATTTGATAAATGTATAAATGATATGAATTTCTGCCCACGTCAAATTATCTTGAATTGAATTATACAAAAATAATTTTTAAAAAAGTTAGTCGCGTACACCTTTTTCATTCGGGTGTGTTGGATTCTACTTTTAAACGTTAAATCTTAAAAAAAAAAAAAAAAAAAAGATAACCCTCTCGCTTCGGATTTCATACTTTTAATATTTTCATACTAAATTTTACTTGGTAGTTTTTCAAATTCATATTTTGAGAAGAACTGAAATATGGGTCAAGTGAAATGACAAGATATGATGGGTGCATTTGATTACAAGTTGCTAGCTTACTTATTCCATTAAAATGTTTGTGTCAATAAAATCATTCAAAATTTAATAACAAATTTTTTAAAGATTAAAAAAAGTAGTTGGGGTTGATTTTTACATTAAGTCTATATCAGCAAAAAATGCGTGTTCAAAGAGTAAAAATACATGCAGTTTATGCTCCCCTCCGTAATGCTTCAATGCAACAGGACGAAATACGTTGAGTTAGGTCGGTTATGTCGAGTAAAGTCATTTTATTGGAAATCTCTATTAATCAATAACATTAACATTAATTCTTTAGTAAATGATATCGAGAGAAAAACAAACAAAAGGTGTACATTGTATTATTGCTCGGTATGAGATTTTCATAATGAGTCCTAGCTATAAAAAAATTTCAGTGTATTTTAAGTAAAGAATAAAACAATATTCAGTAAAATTCATTTTCATTATACAATGATACAGGAACCTCGATTAAAATTCCCCTATAATAACCGTTCATTCAAAATCTTGTAATTATTTTAACCATCTTAATGAATACATGAAGATTAAACTCCCATGTTTCATTTGCCTTTGCAGGAATATCGGACTTATGTGGTAGCTTCAAATACGAGATCAGCAAAGTACCTGATATATTGATATCAACCCGATAATAAAACCAAAAATATGGACAAAATTTTAGTTTCGGAAATGTTTCCAAACGAAAATCAAGGTACAGTTCCTCGAAGTAAACGGAAACACTCAGATTCTGTTGATGATAATGAAAATATAAAGAAGCAGAAAGTAGATCTTCAAAATGAGCAGGCAAAGGATAACATCAAAGTTGAAAATGAAGAGAAGTTATTGCAGTCAGAAAATAATGTCAGTCCCGAAAATAAAGAAGAGAACATAAGACCAACGCATTCTGAATTAAATGAAAGTAAAATCGCCCATTTAAAAGATGATTACGCCTTTAATCTCGATCAAGAGAATGAACTGAAATCAAATTTAACTATCACTAGAATTGAGAACGGCGAGGAGTCAAAAGATTTGGAAAACCACCCAGTTTCTCAAAAAGACGAAAATCAATTTGAGCAGAGTGAAATTTCCTGTGAGAAGGAGAAAACACAGGACATAGACATCAATACTGTTAGTGAAACTGTGTCAGAAAGTGATACCATTCGCCAGAACAGTGATGTCAGTTCAACAGGAATCGATACTTTATACAGCCGTACATCTGGAGTTCCAGATCCCGAACCAATAAAGAGAAAAGAAGCGGTAATATCTGAACGATTTTAATGCATTATATTAAACGAACATTACATCTCCATTTCCATGTTTATTTAAAAAAAAAAACATATCAAATTTATTACCTTTCACATTTAACAAGTCATATCCGGAAAACAATATTTTTTAATAACGCATTTTCAAACTAGTTATTGAATTCAATGAATTTGCTGCATATACAATAAAAATTTGCATAAGTTACATTAAGATGCAATGTAGATCAAAATAAAAAATGTTAATGCGAGTATTATGCTATACGTGATATATCATATTTTTGTTTTTAGAAAAAATTTCGAAAGTTATATAGACTGATGCGAGAAGGTGAAAACAAAGACAATGGATTAATGGCGAAAAACCCGCGGTCAAATACAACTGTGGCAGAGCATGTTGCAAATGGAAGCAACGAAGGAGATTCTAGGTACATATCAACATGTTCCACTCTTTCCGCAGCACAAAACTTGCTTAGATTAAAAACAAAAAGTAAATACAGAAACGGAAACAAAAAGATCGTAGAAATTGATGTCAATAATCTACCTTTAGATGTTGATATTATTGATCTCACAGAAGAAAATCTCAGAAAATCACATGAAGCGCGGAATGATGACGACATAAAGAGAAAATTTCATAGATTTGCAGCCTCCCACGGGGAGGTCTTGCTTGTAGGATATATACCTGCAGACTGTCTTAAATATACATGATATATCACCAGAAATATGTCTCTTTACAACGACAGTAATGTTATTTATATAAGGACACTAGCACGGGATTTGGCGAGTTCTGATCAAAAGCATAATGTGATAAATATAAAAATAACACTAATTATTTCTTTGTCTTTTTCATTCTTTTCGACATGAATTTGAAACTGAAACTGTTGTGTGTTGTATCTTCATAATTCACAATAATTGTTGTATGTGTTTTATCTTAAAAATAATGTTGTAATAGCAAATTTACAGATTTTGTAGCATAAAATATTACGTGTATTTTAAGTCTTTATTTTTGATTCGACTAAAATTCCTATCTATAGTTCTTATATTTGAATTGAGTCATCGTTTAATCATGGAATTTCTTTCAAACAAGATAGATTGCTAAAAGAATACGGTGTTTCCTATTTCGCAAGAACCACCTTATTTAGTTATTATCAAATGTCTTGTCGATTTCATCCATTTAGCAACAATAACACAAGCAATCGTATGCTTCCACAATTTTAAAAACAAATGGTATAAGAGAAAGAGTAGGGGTTCTTGTTGCTCAGTCTTTAGTTTCTATGTTGTGATTTGTACACTGTTGTTTGTCTTTTGGTCGTTTTCCGTTATTTGCCATTGCGTTGTAAGTTTGTTATCGACTTATCCCTTTGGGAGCTTCAGCCTCTCTTGTACATTTATAGTTACTTTTTCATATTTCCAATCAAACGTTCAGCTATTTTTTGTTTCTTTACCTGTGAAACCTCTCGAATCATTTCGATAATATCGTCTTTTGAAACGGAGGTATAGTTTATGAATTCTATTTTCATTTTACTAAACATATGGCATACCATAATCTAAGTGAAACCCGCCAACTTTGCTGCGTTTGTTTCGCATACCTATACGTAGTTTCAGTGGATGCAATAGTTTAATACTTCCTATATCTGATCTATTTTGAAAATTTTGATATTTCATTTTGAAAAACGTGGTCACTGACGAAGGTCATTCATTGTGCAGAAATTTTTGTCCGTTAATACGATATTATTCCATCTTCACTATTTGTATATGTCTCTTATCTGAATCGTTGTTATTTTCAGTCCATTAGTTAATGCGTTGCCACTGACATGTTTTATGATAAAAAAAAATTAAAATTTTCCTTCGATTAATTTAAAATTTATTCAAACCTAAGGTCCCAACTTCAGTCAAAGATCGTATGAGCATCTTTTGTAGTGCCCCTTTTGTCACATAATTCATCTCTTATTTATACAAAGGCTTTTAATGTTTTGGTTTGAGAGGTCCTAATGAAATTAAATCCAGAAAAGCACTACGTATGCACGAAACTTATAAAGTGCTATTTCCATTTATCATCTCTATATAATTGAAAAAAATTGAAAAACAAATCCTGTTTAAGTGAGAACAAGAAAATAGGTAAAGAATTCCATTATGTTTTTTTAATGTCTGGCAAGCGAACATTATAAGTTCCAGCCTTAGTATTAAATTCCATTACTCAGGATGAAAAATAAAAAGTAAAAAACAGGCAACAGTTCCGGATTAAAGAATTTTCTGTAAATTCTTAATAATAATAACACTCAATAAGGTTTTCATGGTTAATTCTAGTTGACATCATCTTTATTGGTATATGCAGGTGCAGATCAAGAAATTCCTTTGACCGAGAAGGGGACATTAAGGTCGTGCAAAAAAGGGTTATAGGGAGGACATTATTCGTAACACAGTGTGCTAGTGACCTTATACTATATGTATGGGGTCAGTAAATTCTAGATGGGGTGAGAGTAAAGTTATCTTACCAACTACCTTAACATTTGGCATTTTGACTAGTGGCCTATCAAAGTGATCAAGTCTTCAATATTATTAACCTGCTTCCATTGGTCTATACAAAAACAAATGCCAACAATAACTTGTTAGCTTTTGATGTGTTTTCTGCATCTATTTTCAATCGTTCATCATCAATTTCTTCATCTGTTGTCTGAGCGAAACGTTTCAGATTTTTCTGAACGCCGTATTGTTTTATAAAGTGACATAACACTTATACTACCCATATAACAAAATAAAGCACGCCCACTAACCCCATATTAAATATACAAGGTCTCCACGTGTTCGCTTTTACCCATTGATATTCCTAGAAGTGTATAGGAGGTAAGATAATAACAATTATTGGTTGGAGTTCAAAGCATATACCCGATAGTACCGAAGTGCATATAGAATGAGGTCTCAGTCTCTCTTTGTTAGGTAAAGGCTCCAAACAAAGGTCGTCCGTTTGTCTGGGATGTAACGTTAATACATGCACAGCCACGTATAGTCGATATGTAAGTCTGATGCTAAAGAAAGTTTCCCGCTTGATGCAAGATGATTTAGTTTTTTAACAACCCTTTTTGAGGGTCCGTAGTTAGCCCACTGCATGATGAAATATGCTGTTATCCAACATGTCTTTAAAATTGTATGCGTTTCCGACAGCATTTTCATTACTAGTATTTCAAAAAGGTTGAATAAACCATAATATCTGTACAATTGTTGTAAAAAGAGGAAAACGAGAAATGCCACAATATCATGTGAAATTCGCCTTGATTTCAGCAGAAGCATATTTCAATTCAAAACGTTTAATTAATTCTGACCTAACTAATAGAAAAACAAAGGATATGGGCTATCTATCCATGAAACGAAATCAGCATTGATCAGTTCATTCACATAAAAAAAAACACACAAAAAGCAAAGGAATAGCGCTTTAAAGGCTGTTTTTCATCTCAAAACCACAGTGAGTGAGTTTTAACACGGAGCCAAAAAAAAACCTCTCACCTCACTGCAAGTTAAAGACGTCCCCTAGCATCGATTTGAGCGGAATTCTTTGCAAACTAAAATAATTCAGGTAGACTTTGTAAGAGACTACACCAACAAATCGGGCCCGGTCGAAAAGAACATACTGGAAAGTAGTACATATTCGAAACAAAATAGTTCCTATGCATATGTGTAATTTTCGAACTATTTGGAATATATTTGGGTAATTTAGGTATCAAATGAAAGGTGAAGGGTTGGTGATCTTTGTAGAACACATTTCGACTGATCGTTTGGATAATACATAAATGTATGAATGGATTGAGGGCATATATTGCTTGTTTTTCAGAATGAAGTACCTGCTTTGGTGTAGCAAAAGTTCCGGTAACCAGTACGGTTTATGTAAATAACGGTATATAGACCGCGCACCCCATAAATGCTTGAAATTGAAAAATTTTAAAAAGGAAGTGACGAGGGCCAAGAATAGATGGCGTGCGTCTTACTAAAATCTAGGCTACTACTCAACTCATAATGTAATGATATCAATATAAAGTAACTACTAACAAACCCACATGGAATGATTCATGCCATTGCGTATTTTTTCAACAGACAAGTCTTGGAAAATGAAAACAACATGTTACAAATTTCGTGCGTCCGAAGCGCTGTTCTGGATTTACCTTCATCAGGAACGCTCAAAGCCGAATATTTAAAAGCCAAGAATGTATAAAAACCTTAACAGTTGAAGAGCTATATTTTCAAAATGAACCTAAAAAAAATTATCCATAATAAATTCAATCTAAATAATTTAATAAAATTGAGAATGGAAATGGGGAATGTGTCAAAGAGACAACAACCCGACCATAGAACAGACAACAGCAGAAGGTCACCAACAGGTCTTCAATGCAGCGAGAAATTCCCGCACCCGGAGGCGTCCTTCAGCTGGCCCCTAAACAAATATATATACTAGTTCAGTGATAATGAACGCCATTCTAAACTCCAAATTTTACACAAGAAACTAAAATTAAAAATAATACAAGACTGACAAAGGCTAGAGGCTCCTGACTTGGGACAGGCGCAAAAATGCGGCGGGGTTAAACATGTTTATGAGATCTCAACCCTCCCCCTATACCTCTAGCCAATGTAGAAAAGTAAACGCATCAATACGCACATTAAAATTCAGTTCAAGAGAAGTCCGAGTCTGATGTCAGAAGATGTAACCAAAGAAAATAAACAAAATGACAATAATACATAAATAACAACAGACTACTAGCAGTTAACTGACATGCCAGCTCCAGACTTCAATTAAACTGATTGAAAGATTATGTCTTCATCATATGAATATCAGGCACAATCCTTGATGTCTATTTAAAATTCTGTTGCAAAAGTGCTAATCCACATCATAATAACGTGAGAATGCAGTGAACAATTTTAGGAAAAACGCTTGTTGATTATGACAAATAGTTTCAAAATGACAGTTCCATGGAATATAGTATCATGAACTGGAAGGTACACCTATCATGCAATTACTGATTGAATTGTTCGACAAAACTCATAATCTGAACACTGAAGTCAACTTAAAATGATATTCTATACCGACTAGGATGAATAAGTCAATGGTTTATACTACAACATAATAAAAGAGACATTGCGTGTTTGTTATCATAAGAAATAATTTGAATTTTGGAGAATCTTTTTACGCATTGTCAATAAAGTGAACACAAATCAATTACTTTCTGAAAGCGTTTTGTTTTCTACCACCTGATAACTCTGCCGTGTTTAGCGTAAATAATTTACCGCAAACCAAAACTAAAACCAGTTATTTTATCGAATTCATATATATAATTTCTACCGAAGAAACATTGTAGAGGGTCACTTTTCAACAACTACTGAATTACAGATGAAAATAACACTTTCTCAATTTCGTGCGTCCGATGCGCTTTTCTGGTTTCACCTTCATCGTGAACGCTCAAACCTTAACATTTGAAAGCCCGTGTGCTGAATAAATGCGTTCAAATATAAGGCGCTATTCTGGATTACCATCATCAAGCTGCTACTAAACGCCGCGATATTTTAAGATCGATCAGTGGACCAGCAAAATGTTAATATACATAAAAACATAGAATATATAAATAGCAGAGAAGGTGATAGATCCGATTGTTACCCCGAGAAAACATTGTCAACAAAGGCTCTAAGGAACTCATTACTAATAACAATCTGGTATATCACCCTCTAGGCTATGGGTTATTCAATTTATTATACTGAATGCTCTGTCATTTTTGTCTTTTGAATTGTAAATTGAAAGTGATTAACTATGAAGGCATTAAGAATGTATATCTAGTATAACAAACCGAAAACTATGCCAATATTATATGTGTTGATAAAATCGTTTCCTTAATTAACATACTTTTTTCATTAAGTTATTGATACGGTAATAACTACTACAAAAGCTAGTTAAATGTGTTATGTAAAGGTCATACATTGGTTAAACCATCATTTCCTGACTTGGTATAGGCATAGAAAATGGTGGATTAAACCTTGTTTTATAGCTAGCTAAACCTCTCACTTGTATGACAGTCGTATAAAATTCCATGTGTGAGCAAACCAAAAAAGACATAATAGTAGGTAAAAATATCAAGTTTGGGTACAGCAGTCAACATTAATGTGTTATAATCTTAATCACTATAAAAACACAAACTGTGTAAAAAAAATGGCATGTAGACACTCTATAGACAAAGCACATAAGTAAAAATGAAAGACAAGAATAAAGAATATGACCATAGCACAATAACACACTAGCGGGATGTAAAAATACCGAGCCACGCCAAAAGGATATAAGCAAAAAAGGACTAAATAGTAAAGGTTAAAAATCTACAAAAAAACAAAAACAACATTAACTACGCTATATGCAATCTGTCTGTCTCAAAACTTGTGATTATGGATAAAAGCATACCAACGGAAAGAACTTGTCGTATGCTATTTGTTTGTCATATATAAACATGTTCTAGAATGATACTGTTGTCGAGAATACGTGAATAAAGGAAGAAAACGTTACATGTTATAATTTGTAATCGATCTAAAGAATGCCCAAGTATACAAGTCTGTATTCAGAATTTCATCTTCAATACTGTATCATACAATTATTAGCAGACTTGTTACAAAAGACTCATTCATGTAAATAAAAATAAAAACTAATTAGGCGTTTCAAATATCAAAACAAAACTGATGCATATTCAAAGCATTAAGTCAGTACAATTGAAACCCGTTATCAAACACAAGATGTAAAAAAAACACAATTTTTTATAAAAATTGAGTACAGTACATCCACAAACGCGAACAGTGACATCTACTTACTACCTAAACTTGTAGGTGAAGCTAATTGAAGAGGCAACGATTAGCTGATTTAATCGCTGTTGATTTAAAGATAAATACTGAAATAATAAATGTTTTTGCCTTTCAACATTTTTGTAGTTAGACTGGATTATAAAACTGGAAATGTTTGTAAATTAACGAAACAATTGTTTTTCTATTTACTTCTCACCATTGCTCTCCACTGTAGCAAACCCGTATGCATACCAGTATACATCCAAACAGGGGAAATAAGTCGAATTCAAATGTAATTAAAAATCTGTTTCGGGTTTTCGGAAGCGTGTTCATAGAAAGTCCTATGTTGTTGATATGAAAGTTAAGTAAATTATATTAATAAATTTTCATATTCATCAATTGGATAACATAACAATTGGTCAATTTAAACACTTTTAGTAAAATATTTTCGTACTTTCGTTATGTCATTCATATAAACGCAGTTTGGAATTCCAGTTCCGGAAATTTTGTTTTACAATTTTTCGAAAATTAACGTGGGCGTTTGTCAAGAATAAATAAATTTTAGGGTAGATGTTTAAATACATTTAATTTTGAACAATCAGCAGTACATTGTCAGAGAAGGTAAGTTGTATAACATAAATTCTTACATGACATCCAGTTTCCATAAGTGATATAGGGTGTCATAAAACACTGATCGAGTTAACTTTGTCCGTTCGGAAATTCTTACTGACAGAACAATACGTTTGGTGCATACAAATGTAACAAAAAGATTAAGTAGGATAATGACCCACATTAGCTTATTTGTTTTCATAAACATTTAACATTTTGATAAAAGTACAGGTTCAAAACTAAACAGGTAGTTTATATACATGACGTCAAAATACATGTATTAATGTTTGAAAAAGAACAACTGCTTCGAAGAATGTTGTGAAAAATAAGTGAATTTAGATGTTTGAACATTTTTCATTGGTTTCTGGAGCCGAAAATAAAAGCGCATGCGAGAATAAACTGCATTCACCACAGTATTTGTCTATATAAAGTGACTCATTGTCCTCTTTCTACAAATCTTGGTGCAGAAAAATTATAAATTATTGGATTCTATATTTAAAGAGAATACGGAGAGACTCATTTCCCCAAAATCTTACTAGTAAACATATTCGGAAGTCATTGACAATTCATAGCTAAAATGGTCAGTTCTGCCGCTGCTAAGTATGAACAACAACCATAGATTATTTATTCTTCTTTTGGTTTCCATTTTCAGTTTGTTTCCCTTTTCTTATCATATTTCTGAAAGGCAAAAAAACATTATCTGTTTGCAGTGACGAATCAATAGTACATTTAAATAACAGAAACGATAATGTAGGACACGAGTGATTTTAGAAATTCGAATTACGAAAGTAGAATTATTTATAGCAAATATTTCAAATATTCCAAATGATTGCCAATGATTCGTTTTTAATAGTACATAGTTTAATATCCATTCAATCAAAACGTTTCTTCTGTATAATAAGAATAATGAGTGTTGTTATTAAATGGCCACACTTAAAAAGATGTCTTAATATACAATATAATATAGATATGTTTCACAAATAACTTAATTGATTGCAAATGAAATAAGTATGAATAATGTATAGTCGAAACGCTTTGTGTACATAATAGAAATGAAATGTCACCAATGAGAGATCGTAAAATTATATTGTTTTCCCACAGACATATATTGTCAGAAGAAAAGACTACCTGGAGTGAAAACGCCACTAGACGTAATGTAAACAGTAAAGTATTAAACATGTAGGGAAAATGGTCGTATTATTCCACTATCATTTTCTGAATTTTCTACATTTGAACCTAAAACAAGAAAGATATATGAAATAGTTATTCATTATTCTGTTTTAAGAAATTTAAGTCAAATAATGGCATACCAATTTCCTACTGAGCGTGCTTTTGGCGTCCATAGCAACAGTTATAGTGAATCAAAGTTATGGAAATTCAGATTCTTCCTCGAAGATTTCTCAAATAAAATTGAAAATGTAAATGGGGAATGTGTCAAAGAGACAACAACCCGACCAAAAAGCAAAAAACTCCCCAAGGCCACCAATGAGTCTTCAACACAGCGAGAAAATCCCGCACCCGAAGGCGGGCTTTAGCTGGCTCCTAAACAAAAATGTGTACTAGTTTAGTAAAAATGGACGTCACACTAAACTCCGAAACATATAAATGAACTAAAATAGAACATACAAGACTGACAAAGGCCAGAGGCTCCTGACTTGGGACAGGCACTAAAATGCGGCGGGGTTAAACATGTTTTGTGAGATGTCAACCCTCCCACTATACCTCTAGCCAATGTAGAACACACACACATCAATACGCACAGTAAAACTCATTAAAAGAAGCATATTTCCTTGTTTTTTCAATTTTTTTTTTTGTAGATAAACAAACTGCGGTTATTCAAACAGTATGAAAACAAAATATGTTATACTCATAAATCCAATCACAGCGCTGCAAAATTGACTCTTCACCAGAGTTATTTACACGAAAAGGCAACCTAATGACAGAAACATTCATTACTTTTTTTTTCTTTCCAATCACCCAGCAAGCAGATTATATAAAAAAAATAATCAAAAAAGCAATGCTGTTATTAACTAATACAAGGTTTCATTAAGCATTATATAAATGGTGAACTGTGATTCGTTCTATGATAATACTACTTAGTAAAAGAAGAAATAAATAAACAGAAAAATGATTGGGATCACGTTCTAGAATACAAATGAAAGTAACACTTTATAAATTTGGTGCTCCCAACTATACTTTCAAATAGTTTAGATCTCAAGTCCCATATTGTATTAAGCCAAGTTTGTATATCTAAAGAGGTGTTTAACGACCTTGACTATCAATGCGATTCTCAGTAGGCGGACGATTATATCGGATCTCCTAATTTCCTAGAAAACCCCAAAAATTCAATCATTAAGTCAACTCAGTTGAAAAACGTTATGCACTCATTACAAATCTCAAATAAATTGTGAAAGTTTATCCCACAACGCGAACTTTACGATTAGGTATTCATTATACTAAATGAAGAACTGCCATATAACACTACTTTTATATGCTACTACACCACTATTAATATGAATTTTCAGAAAATCATTTAAATCAAATATAACACTCAATGATTTGTACAATGTTACAATTGGCAGTGATATTCACTTTAATTACCTTTATACCTATATCCTGTTTGTACTTTCGTTTTAAAGAGCCATATTTATGTAATTTATTTAAATGCAGTTTTTTGTAAATCAATATACAATATTCTAGGTTAATATCAGAAAAAAACATCAACTTTCTTGTATGAATATTAGAAACTGGGGAAGGGCGACGTTAATTGGATCCTTCAAACGTTTCGTACCAAATACAAAAAGTTTATATTTTTCTGATAATGGCCTAATATTGTGTTTATGCAATAGTTTAAAATTGCTATAATTTTGTTTTTGAAAATGCTAATACAATACAACAAACTTATTGTCTACCCCTTAATGAACTCTAGTTTGTACAGAAAAGTGACGTAACATTAAAACGACATTGCAAGAAATGCCCCTTTGTTACAATATATGTTGGATACAGACAAGAGAAACTGTTTTAGCTGCAGTATATAATATTGAACATTTCGTTTTTAATTTTTCGAAATTTGATGTGGGCGTTTTGTCAATGAAAATGAATTTGCAGGTAAATCTTTAAATCATATTTAATTATGAGATAACAGCAGAACATTCGCTGATCAGGTAAGGTATATTATTCATATTTTCATAAGGCATCCTGTTTTCAGTCTGTGATGAAACAAAACGTAATCCATGAACGCCAGAAATTTTAATGACGCAACAATACGTTTAGGATTAAAAAAAGTCACAAGGATGAAGGAGGATAATAAACTTATTCAAGTTGAATTACCCCCTCAAATTAGATATTTAAAATTCTAAGTCTTTTCTTAAGTAAGGATACAAAATCTGAAACAGTTAGTTTATTAATGTCTTAATGATGCAAATACAACTGCCAGTTTAAGCTTTTATGCAGAGTACTTTGATATAGATATTGATAAATTTAAATGATGTTTGGACATGAAATATACTTTAAAAGTAATAATAAAAATGCCGAACCTAAAGGTAAACAACTTTCCATTGTATTTGTCTAGATAAACAACTGCCTCTCATATGGTCTTTTTTAAACATTAGCTCGATAATTTTTGCATACAAACATGTGTGAAAACTATGACCTGCCATTTATTTTAACACCAATGAAGTTTGCAGAGATTTTTCCTTTAAATTTCAGGGAATATTCATAATATAGGAACGATATTAAAGTATATCTTTCAATTATTCAAACAAATATCACAGGATTTCATAATGAACACATTGTCTTAGCATGTCAGGGAAACTAATATGTACTACATGCAATCGTTAATCAAGAATATCTACGCCAAAATCCAAATGTTTATTTGATAGATAGTAGTTGACATTTGGACTTGACAGTGTTCTCTTTCCATTATTTTCAACAGAAACAATTGATGGCGCTTTAGAAAAGTTTGTATGTAAAAGGTAATAAAGGATTAACGACCCTATTTAGCCGAATTTACCCTAAAATTTGATTTCTTTTAGTCAAAGATTATCATTTCATCTTTATTCTAAAGTAAAGATAAAAACAGATAGTTTGGAATGATTGACGTCACAATAAATGTATCCCTTCTGCACATATTAATAGAACAATTACCTTTCAGCAGTTCTTGCAAAATACATGGATGTAGAAATAACATCACAATTTCCCCGCTTATAAATTAAAAAAAAATATTAAGAAACTAAGTTTCCAACTTTCTGAGGCAAAGTTGTGTTGTATGTCTGTGACAATTGTTTACACAGTTTTGGCTGCTGAATCAAAATTATTGTCACATTAACCTATCATGTCTGTTTGGGTTGCTCCCCCAATTTTGTCAATAAATAAATAAAGGCAACAGTAGTATACAGCTGTTCAACAGTCATAATTCGATTAAGCAAGAACAAATCCGGGTAACAAACTAAAACCGAGGGAACCACATCAACTATAAGAGAAAAAACAACGGAACAACAGAAACACTGAACTACAACAATAAGCAAACCCCAATATAACGGAACTATAAAGTACTGTCATACAAGTTTGAGGTTTAGTTAGCTATAAAGGTTAAACCTACCATTTTCTTCGGAGAATGCCTGTACCAAGTTAGGAATATGGAAGGTGTTTTTCACAAGTTCCGTTGATTGATAGCATTTAATTTTGTCAGTTTTGGACTTCCCCTGTTTGACTTTGCCTTAGAGCTCGATATTTTTGTTATACCTTTTTGACCTTAGAATAACTTTGCTATTATTTTTATGTCCTTCTAGGTCATATGGCTCCTAACGTTGCAGAGTATTTACGCATCCCTGGCTTTAAATGTTTAGATTTCAGCTATCCTGACGAAGGTAATCAAAGAAAAACGTTTCGGACGTACTAGATTTATAAAGTGATTATTTCATTATATATTATATATGTAGCTGTATTTTGAACAGGGGACCTCAGAATTGTTCAAGACATTGATTTTATCACATTTCTTAATAAAAAGAACCCAAATAATTATCATTGCAAATTCTTATATAGACTTAAATGATATTTTGAATTCACAAGAGACAATACATTTCCTTACCACAAATCCTGTTGCATAAAAGATAATGATTTATTGGATTTTTCTCTTAAATGAATTTTAAAAGTGAGAAGACATTTGAAACAATTCAGTTTTAAAATGATCAGTTCTAATCTTTTTTTGTGATACTGATTTTTGCCAGGTAAACAACCACTGTAGGTTGTTAAAACAAAGTCTATATAAATTCTATTTTTTCACTCATTTATTTCAGAAAAACGATAATGTAGGCCATGGGTAATTTTAGAAACTCGAAAAACGAAAGTAGAATTATTTACTTAATCTTATTTTTGAATCAATTTATTGAATAAAAATTATTATGTATGACATGGGTAATTTTTGAAACCCGAAAAACGAAAGTAGAATTATTTACAGCCAATATTTAAATGATTGCAAATACTTCGTTTTTAATAGTTTAATATTCTATCAATCAAAACTGTTCTTGTGCATTATAAAAATGAATTGTGATATTATTAAGTGTCCACGCTCAAAGACATAAATAAATTTACAATATCGTGTATAATACCGAAACATCTTCTCAGCAGAAGACTACAAGTTATTACGCAGCAAGCGGGTCATGAAATAAAACTAATACTATAATTCAGATCAAACTAACAGTAACTAAATAATTCGACAAATCAGCACATTTTGAACTGCAAGAACTGCTTATTCTTCCGGAGCACTCTGAGTTTTTGGTGCTCCTGTTGCTTAGTTTTCTAAGTAGCGTTTAATTTATGTTATTAGTCATTTCGTCGTTTTACATTTGCTCATACTGGACTAATGTTACTTAATTGTCCCCTTAAGATCTTCTCTCTCTTTTTATAATGGTAATTTGCAATTTGTTGAATGATTATACTGAACAAAAGAATGAACACTGAACTGCTTTGGAACACGTTCTATGCAATCAATTGTTTTTTTCAAAAGTTAAAACTCTCTCCACCAATAATATTCCAGCCAAATGTGTATTAACGACATTGAGAACACACGAGGGTCTCGCATGATCAAAAGTTTGTGTGATTTGGAGAGAAAAAATGGAAGGAGGTAATCTTATTCAACCGTCATCGGGTGGTCTAAAATATGCATTTACTCAATGATCCCGCCTGAATAAAATGTTGTAATAGGAAATTTAAATATTTTGTATAGTACATGTATCAATGAATAACTACTTCCGTGGTTTTTAGGTTATTTACATTAAAGATAATAAAGTCTGTTTTCTGAAAACTTTTAAACTGTGTTATGTGACACGATACATTTATCTTTTTTTAATCACACATTTTCATTGTTAAAGGTTAAGCTGTATGTTGCATTGATAATATTGTGGTTTGGTTTTTCAGAAATACTGTATGGAATTCAGTTTTTTTTTTTATCGTTTCTCTTTTTTTTTTATTTTGGCAACGAATCAGACCTCAAAGACTAACGACTGAAATTGACACTACATAAGGTTTACGGTCACCAACACCAATTGTTTGACCGATACGATATTTCGCTGTCTCAACTTTTTAGCAACATGTTTTCGCAGTTTTAAATCTTTAGATACCAGGATAGTCGTCTAATATAAGTTATAAGATTTGCTACTGACCCCTTACGGATCCATAGAGGGTTAGTTAAATCCATAGGGGTGAGGTCGAAGGCCAAATCTCCTAACAAATTTATCGCACACGGGACTTTTTCTGCTTAGTTATGTATACAAATAAGCAATGAATTACAATAACATTAATCGATGACGTCACCATTAACATTAATCGTGACGTCATGAACCTCATATGAAATATACTTAACCCATATGGATGCGTTGGGGGTCATCAGAGAATAATTCATTAGTTTTCCCCTCGTTAGATGTGTTTGGGCTTTTGAATTTGCCATTTGACTTTCCTTTTTGAATTTTACTTGGAGTTCGGTATTTTTGTTATTTTACTTTCATTGTGTCGAATTCCTTATTATGACATGTTGACGAGTGAAGATTCGCATGCATAGCAGGAGACACTTTCCCTGTCGACGCACCCGGTCTCTAAAAAGTAAAATAACAAAAATACCGAATTCCAAGGAAAATTCCAATTGGAAAGTCCCTTTTGAGGTACATTTGTGTCATAAATTTGCACGCTTATCGATTTATCTAGATTTGAACATTCACTAAGTTCTGTTGCAATAATTTAAAAATTAAAAATAGCAAAACTGAAAGTAGATCGAGTGTCAAAATAAGAAAGAAAAATGGTTTTGTTTTTTATTTTCATCTTTAAATATAGTTTTAATATTCAGATATATATATATATATATGTATATATATATATATATGTTTATGCAAAATAAATACATTCTGACATTCTATAATAATTATATAATAATGACATTGCAGAACATAAAGATACATACCTCACAGTAATGAGATTGGTTTTCATATTTCATTCTTCTATTTCGTTGCTTTTGGCTGGAGACAAAAGGCAGAATTTAAATAAATGCAATTTAAACGAAAGTGAAAAACTACTGATATATTATGATGAAAATATATGCTGATTGTAAAAGTGAATAATTAAGGAATAATAGTAGTGTGCTTGAAGAGTTGCAACCATCAAATACCAACTTGCAGTAGCAACTCTATTTACACGTACTGAACTGTTATTTCCTGTTATAATGCCGTACTTGTAAAATATTCCAGATAAAACATTTGAAATATCCTGAAATTCTCTAATCAGCCGGACAAAAAATCCCTGATATAAAACGCCAGATTTATGATCCGAGGATCAAGTGGAGATAATTTCTGAGAAAACCGTCACCAGACGTCGCTGCGGAGAAAAAAAAACCCACGAAAGACGATCCTGTAGGAAATAATGAATTTGTGAAATATTAAGAAACCAAACGTATAATGACGGCAGACATGTATCCTAATTTTCAAATTTATTTGAAAATCTTAAAAAGTCAAAGTAATGGTTAAAAAAGAAATTCAAGCAATTAATTTTCAGTCTTCGGAACCGTCATTTTTCAACTTCGGCTGTCATTGACAAATTTCAGCTCGGGACGAATTGACACATAAATATGACTGCTTTATTTTGATAAACTGGGACATGGAAAACAGAACTGGGATGGTCACATGACGTTACCCTTCGTTTTTTACACACGAACACACTTTCAATACACATCACAATTTTTCTTAAAATTTCTCTGTTCCTGACCGAAATAGCTCATTATTATGACAAACTTGTGTCACAAAGGAAAAGACAGTTAACTTGTCATTGAAATGAATTCAAAGCTGGTTTGCGATTTATTTTCACTTTTATGCCTCAATGAGGTTTTTTAGTCCATTAAATTGCAAAATGCGAACATTAGCTTCTTCTTTCTTAAAAATCACACACTTGTTCACATTATCCATATAAGAAATTATATAAAAAATTCCTAATCAAATCCTTTAATCAGTGCATTCTTTTCAGAAAGTCCAGTTGCAAAATATTGTGATCTGTTTGCAGGTAAGTAGCCATGTCAGGATTTGTCCTGGATGACATGTCTCAAGTGTGAACATCCTCATATCTGATATATCGTAAATAATAAAAACATTTGAACATAGTCAATTCATTATTTTGTAGCCAACATATATAATTGCAAAAGAATGCTATACTATAATTGTTTGTGCTTCATATCCTGCTCATTTTCTCCGGATATTGCAGGTCCGGGTATTGCAGGCAATCCTTCATAAGTTGTTCAATCTACATCCATTTTATGAATAAATCCCTACTCAATGTTGAATTAGTCCTTTCTATGTTTGCATTTGTTAAGTTGCATGCATTTGTTAATATGCTATATTTACTTACATTTATGTACGTTTCGGCAATAAAGTTTATCGACAAGTTGTGGGTATTTGTATGGGTACCAATCGTGCCCCATTAATAGCAGACTTGTTCCTATACTATTATGAATCACTATTTATGGCCAAACTTGTTCGCTATGTCCGTGTCTGTAGTGACGTTTTGGATTTCAATGAGCGTAATCTATGTATTACTGGTAAATTATTAAGTCAGGCATTTCGTTACCATAAATTTCTTAAAACCTTTACTAAATTCTTCCATAAATACAAAGATTTGGTTTGCAAGTTTTGCTGTACCTGTAGAAAACTTATTTCAAACGGAAAAGCACGTCCTAAATTTTACGGTAATGTTGTTGACAGAGCCCGGAAAGGTATATACGATCCGGGCAAACTTATTAATCCTTTAAATTAACTTATTCCAAAAGGTTACTAATTCCACGATGTAATAAGATCTTTGAATATTGTTTTATTGGTATAAATATTGATTTTGTTATCAGTAAATTCAAACCATACTTTATATCATTGTTATACATATATGCACTTTCACGGTACTACAATCTGTCCATTCCTATATTTTGGCATTGTACAAGGTCATGTTTTTCTCTGACTGTTAATGATGTATTTACACTAAATTCATTGGATGTTGGATGTGTACTGATTAATAATTTAGATTTAGATACCTGACTTACGGTCAACCAACTCGTGACGGCGTCCGTAAAATTTACGAAGGGATGATTTCAACTTCACCACTTGGAACTCTTGGTTGAATAGCTTCCTTCAGAGCAGCAACCCTCTTTCAGGGCAATCATGATAGGAAATACAAGCCCTGGGGTATCGTATCAACTGGGAGATATATACTCCGTATGCAGGCGCTGCTGGAATGTTGCTACATAAAAATGGAACGTTCACAATTGGGAAGCTGAAATCATTTCTTTTGTCATAAAGTTTTGTTTTCAACCGACCCTCATTGTCAATTTCTAGATGTAAGTCAAGATATGAGACAAACTTAACTGTATCTGTTGTATCCTTTATCTCAAGTTCGATGAGATAGATGCGTTCAACATAGTCACCAAATTGATAAAGGTTAATCCAGAAAAGCGCTTCGGACGCATGAAATTTATAACGTGTTGTTTTCATTTTTTATGAGGAATCATAGATTTCAGGTCATCATGGTCAATTTTTTAATGGATAACTTTTCATAATTCCACTTATTTATATATTTAACCATTTCTTGTAACTTTAAATGTCTCTGATGTTACAATTAAGACATTTTAGAATTGTTTTTTTATCCAATAAAATTTTTTACACCCCATGACCTTTTTGTTTTTGTTTTGATTACATTTATTTCCACTAAAAGGCGCACAATTTCACTTTTTTAGTGCAATGCAATTTTCAGGATTTTTTACGGTATAATGGCATTTTACTTTATTGCATATTTTAAAATATTTAGTTATTTGATATACATGATTGGGGATTGGGTTTTAAGTTGACAGATACTGGTACCTGTCACACCCAGAATACATCCTGATACTCTTGGCATTGATTATAACTTTTATTGCATATATATGTAAACATGTTTAATAAAGTAATTTGACATTTCTGTTGGAGCCTGAAGGTGAAAAAAACTTTTATCATATTATTAAGCTTTCAATGATTGAGGGACTGATGATTTCATTTAACAATATAAAGAGCTGAAGTTGTTATTTTCTATTGAAACCTTTAACATTTAATATATCTTGTTAAATACCGGCATGATAAGGATGGATGCGCATCCATGTCATGTGTCAGGGTCTATATATCCCAATTCCTAACAAGTTCTGAATGATTAAAACCTGGAACTAAGATATGTTGTTTGTAATCCCCTTTTTCTGAATTGAGACAACAAAACAAATGACATGGTTTGCAATACCCGTCCGGCCAATGGTCATAATAAGATTAGAAAGAAAAATCCTTGCAAAGAAAAATAATAAAAAACAAAAAACAAAAAATGCAATTCTGACATTAATTTGTTTAACCTATTCTAATCAAGCTTCGTATAGTGAGATGGGAGGAATAAACATAAGGAAAACATTTTAAGTTATTCACTCAGTATATAAAACCCGGATTATATGTTTTATTCTTAATTTATTAATTTTTCTACATTTGTATTACCTTGTTATATTGCTACCTACACACCCATAGAAATACCATGTTTGATGAATGGGAAGCCTTTTTAGACATTTAGAGAGTACTTTGATATTTCCATTTGTAATTAACATTGTCACGGGCATCATATACCCCTTAAAATTGACCAGTGACAAGTCATTAGACCTCAGATTCTTGATATTTATGTATTGCATATATATAACATCCATTTACCATGATTAGAATGAAAAAAATAGCTAACAGATAAGACTGACAATGAATCTTATTTGAAATTCTCTATATCTATAGACTACTGTAGAATAGAATAAAATATATAAAACGTGTATATATTTCAAACCCATAAACTTTATAAAATATTTTTTCATGTAGATCTACAAAGAAAAACAAAATGAATCATTGGATGCTTATCATATATAAAGTATTTATGTGTATTCATGGATAATACTTGATACTTCTAAGAAGCTGGATGCCTTTAAACAATTATTTCTATCAAAGTATGACAAAATAGAGGTAAACATGCAATCTGTGAATATACTTTATATAAATATTTTTTGCCACATGCTTCTTTTTATTTATTTTTCTATTTGTGCGATAATTGGCAATTTCCGTAGCATTATCCATAAGTTCTGGATGATTATAAGAAAAATTTGGGAATATTTCAATGAAGTACTGATCTAATAAAACAAGAAACAGAACAAACATTCATTCTGTAATACTTTCTCCTCGCTGTTCAGATCCTGAAACATGACAGGTGCCGTCTTGCCAATGATTTATTACAATTTCCAAGATAATTTCATATTTAAGCATTTTACCATCGCATACAGATAAATTATTGGACATTATGGTTCAGAAACACTGTTTCCCTTACTAAAATTGAACGAAATACTTATTTTCACTCGTTTCTGATCAGCTGTCACTGCACGAATTATCTTTCGAGTTATCTCCCTTTGGTCGGTAGTCAATTTTTGGTACTGTTGGATTGACACGGCCAGTTTACAATAGGCATATCAGAATGTATCATCTCTCTTAAAGAAAAACCTTTCCCATTCCATGTGTCAATTCAATTTATATTTTTTTACTGACAAGAGTCACTGCCGCGGTACGTTTTTCATCTTTGCCAATCAAATCATCAAGGAAATTCTGCATTTTCATTATTAAAAGAAAAACGTTGTGAAAGTTTGAAACCTACCGTATCAAATGATATATATGGTTGAGCATGGCAAATACATAAATGGTTTAACGCCGTCGATTTTGTGCGTCATAGCCGTTGCAAAAAGAATGTCATTTTGTTTAATAAAACATCACGTGACCACGATTATAAAATAAGCGTCATTATAAGATTTGCTGTCTGGCTGTGATGTGTTTGCGCAACATTGCTCCCAATAACGAAAACACGATAAACGTGAATTGACGACAAGCTTTAGCCAATTAAATATAGCGTAACATTTTGAATAATTGTTTAGGTGTCAGCTGAAGCCCGCCTCCGGGTGCGGGATTTTCTCGCTGTGTTGAAGACCCATTGGTGGCCTTGGGATGTTAATTTTTTCTTTGGTCGGGTTGTTGTCTCTTTGAAACATTCCTCGTTTCCATTCTCAATTTTAGGTTCCAATAGAATTGGTTATACCTTTAAGATTTCTGATTTTTATTGGATGCATCAAAAATCCCATTTCTACGCTGATGTTCAAGGTTATATTATTCGAGACTCCGAGACAAAGTGAAAAAACAGAGTACGTCAAAAATAGTAGATGAGCATGATATGCATTATTTGCAACAGTGTTTTACCATTGGTCAGATCTAATAAATCCCTTAAGAAGAAACACCAATTCAAACATAAAAACTGAGGAAATCGCATAAAAAGAAGGAGACCGGTTGTGTCGACAGGGTAACTGTCTCTGAACCAAACACAATACAAAAGCTCGGTATTTTTGTTATTTTACTTTTTATAACTTGACAAGCAAGAAGATTAGACAGTAATAGAAGTGACAATTCAACACGTAGATATCTAGACCATTCCATCACTCCGCCTGTTGAATAAATCCAAAGATAATACTTCAGATCAAAATTAAGAAAACGAGAAATCTTTGAATGCAAATATTTAAAGATAGAAGATTTCAGCCAGAACTATACAAAAGTATTTTCGTGGATGATCTTCAGATAATTCAACATTTGCAGATATCATCACATAGTTGCTAGACATTTGATATAAAAAAATAAAAGTTAAACACTTGACCTGGCAAATAAAAACTATAATATGCAAATTTCATAATCAGCTCTTGCAAAGCATACTACACAATTTTTGTTTTCAAATTCATTTTTTCGTGTTGACATTGAATCACCGCTGAATATGTAACATCATAAAACATTCATTGTTGTACATTTGGTGTACAAAGTTGAACAATAGAATTGAAAGACAATGCATTTTCCGTACGCGAATATATTCTATATTCGAAAAAAAAACGTTATAAATTTAGCCAAAAAATCCGTATAGTTTGATTTATCATTCCGGTGGCATTTGAAATTTTATACATATACTTTTTCTTCATAATGACAATAAATTGGTTCATAGTCGTAATTTTAACAATTACATTATTTATAAAATATCCAATCGGAAAACGTCTATGTTTTTTCTAAACCAATCATTTAATAGCGTTTTCAATTTAAAGATCTTTACTGCTACGTTTTTGTTATCTCTCAATGAAAGTTGACATTCTACTTTAATTCAAAATATGTAAAAGATATTTTTTTATTATATGATTATTCCGATAATATTAGTTTCAATCAACGCAGTGCATTATGAGGTCAGTTTTATTTTAGGTTGTTTTGAAATTAATGTCATTCTCGCCTGTCGTTTACTATATAGCGTTTAAAATTGTAAATTATATGTGTATTTGTTGTTTTATACATATACGACGTTGAGATCCCAAAATGTGACGTACCAAATAAATCAATATTAAAGATGTAGTCATGCTAATGCGAAACCAAATCAAATATATATGCCAACTGTTTTTTTTTTAACATCGGTAAAATATTGTTGCCTCTATATTTACATATTTGCTTACAACAACAATCACACAAAAATAAAGAAATGTTAATCTTTGTACCATTTAAGTTTCTATTAAAGTCATATGAAACGAGTTTCTTGTAATAACAATGGTGAGGAAATTATTGAATCAATGCATGCATTAATACCAAATTAATTACTCTGTGCACGTTTTTGAACATTTATTACGTACCCATAATGTATAATCAGCAAAACATATTTCATTTGGTAATTATTCATCGAAAGCTTGAGCTGTTAATTAACTTTCGAATTTTGGTGCCGAAGTTAACCGATCGTGACCTTGATCAACAATCAACACACAATCATAGAGCACGTGGAAAATAAGTGAGATAATAGAGCTAGGTTTATATATTTTTTTTTATATTTTCCATGCGTTTCCTTTGGTTGATTAAACTTTGCCATACCAGTTGTTAATGCTTTTGTGTATCAACATTTTTCGCTAAGAATGAATTAAAACAATATATATTCCACGTGCGTTTACCTTTTTTCCTTATTCTTTTCCGTGTCATTTGGGCTGTGCGGTTGTTTAAGTTCGAACGAGAGGTCTCACAGTTTGGGTAACTGCATACGGGTAACCAGTCGGTAAATTATTCAATAGCTGTATATTTCTGAAGATAAGCCATTCCAGTATATAAAATATCTTTAACTTTTTTGTATATATTTTGACGTATCATATGACTTAGAATAGTTTCATGACTGTAGATTTATTTTTCAGATTATATTACTGAAAGGTGTTTTTCATGTTACAAGAACATATTTCTCTAGAGCTTTAGTTATATATATATCCTTGGTATCTAATACAAGCTGTTGAAGGTCGTGCGCTGACCAAGACATTATAGCCCTTTGGTCCCTGGTCGGTAGTGTTCTTATTTGCAATGATACGTAATCTCCTTATTTTTTATATTAGTGCAGTTTATTATTTTAGTATTTTGTTATTCTGAAACAAAAACATGGAAAGTTGTTTTTTGTTAACATTGTAAAGACATGAGACGGAAATTGATAGTAATTTGCTATAAACTCATTAAAGATACCAGGCTTATTATTTAGTACGCCAGACGTGCGTTTCATCTCTTACAGATACAAACTGATTCAACACCATTCTAATTTCAAAATTAAAAACTAATAAAAATCACATTTACACCATAATAAATCGTGGTCACTTTGGTGTACTTCCGACCAGCAGTAAAACCAGCAGTAAAACCCTTGACAAAGTAGGACGTCCGTGTGGCTGTGCGGGATGTATAAGTACGCAGTCATGTCTGGTTGGAAGGGGTAGTTAAACTCGATGCCTCGTGTAGAGAGTGTTTCAAATCCTTGAGGGGTCCTGAACATGCATGAAATATTTGCCACTGCACTTTAAGCAAACATCAATCAATAAATTTTTCCATAAAGACACACAAAAATTACAGTTTGTTTAAGGAGAAGTAAGGAAAATGTCTTCACGTTGTCTATTAAGAACGAGATAAAAAAATGAAACCAATACTACCAAATATGTTAGCCTCTACATCGTGAGGAGTCTAGAATTATTTGTATAAACTCAACTAAATTTAGATAAAACATCTCACAAACATCATATTCCTATTCAACCAAAATCATAGACAACCACTCTCGAGATCTCTGACTTGTTACATACATATTTATGTTTACCCTATTTTGTTTCTCGATATGACCGATACATGCATGCATGCAGATACAACATTTATGTCATTTTGTCTACGTTTTTCCAGCATTTTATTAGTAATGTGATAAAAGAATAAACACTGTCAAAGGAACATACTAATGTTATTTTTACAATCTTATGTGCTGCCCAAATATATTGACATATGCTTTCTAATTTTACACATGATGTTGATTTTGAAATTGACTATTTTCATACATACCTTTACTTATATTGTTGTTTGTTTTTCAGGAATCATCTTGTTCAAAAGAGGAATGTAGTATAACATGGAAAATTAAGAGACAGGTATGAAAAAAACTTTTTAAGGTCTGACAGTAAACTCAATTCGGAATTTTGGATCCTCAATGCTGATGAGTCTTTTGTAGAAGAGACGTGCGTCTGGCGTACAAAATTTTAATCTTGGAATTTATGATGAGTTTATTATTAAAATGATACAGTCAATACAGACAAATCACAATACTACTTAAATATTGCTTCGTATCCTTAATAAGTTTTAACAATCACTGGGTCGATGTCACTGCTGGTGGACGTTTAGTCCCCGAGAGTATCACAAGCCCAGTAGTCAGGAGTTTTGTGTTGATAGGAAATGTAATTGAAATGCTAATTTTTCTGTAAATTGACTGTTTATAAAAAGTTGAATTATTCGAAACACTTAGGTTTGTCTATCCCTAGGTATAGGTTGCCTTAGCCTTATTTACAACTTTTTGGATTTTCTGGTTCTGATGCACTACAACTTAGTATTTGATTTGGCATTCCAATTGTTTTGATTCGAGCGTCACTGACGAGTCTCGAGTACACGAAATTCACGTCTGGCGTACAAAATTATAAGCCTGATATTATTGATGAGTTTTTCAGAATGTATAATACCTTTACGCTAGTATATCCCATGATTATTGAAACTACAACACTATAAAACAGAGCTTTTTCTGAAATAAAACTGGAAATGTAGATTCAAATACTTAGGTCATGAAATATCACTTTGTAAAAATCTATAACTACACTGATTCCAACAATAAATATCCGAAGATGATATTATCGAAATGCTGGACTTTTTGATCGACATATTTATTGATTTTGGTGAATTGGTATTTCAGCAGACAGTCGGTATTCCAAAGGGTACTAATTGTGCCCCACTACTAGCCGACTTGTTTTTGAACTCATATGAAGTATGATTCACACAGAATCTCCTCAAAGACCAAAAGTAAAAGCAACTTGCAACTTTCTTTAATTTCATTTTTAGATATATTGATGATGTTCTGTTGCTCTATAACCCACATTTCAATATAAACTAATCATATATATGTTATACTCATGCATGTTCACACTTTAGGATTTCATTAACACAAGTGTGCTCCTTACACAAAAACTGCTCCAACAGATTTATGAGGTTACTTTTGAAATCGTCACTACATAAGTTTACGGTCACTATCACGTATTGGTTGACCGAAACGCTGTGTCGGTGTCTCATATAAAAATACAAGATGTGGTATCATTACCAATGAGACATCTTTCCAACCAAATAACGTTGAAATTAACAACTCACTAGCGACACCTTTTCGAAGTCTTAGATCTTTAAATAAGAGTACAATCGTCTAATCTGTAATTTAACCGATTGTGTCCTATTCCTGATTGTGACATTTTGACTGCGTGTTAATGGATATGGAGGGTGATGAATGCAGGAGACGCTTACTCTGTCGACGCATTCAGTCTCATTCCATTTTTTGTTTGTAATCTGGATTTATCTCTTTTTAAACATCTGTTAACTACTGTCGCCTTATTTTACTACACCATATAGGCATTTCGACAATTAATGTCTCTTCGGTGATGTTTAAGGCCAAAATATTTGAAAATCAAAATTAAGATACACTCGTTGAAGAACTGAAAAAAATTAAAAATGAACAAAAGTAGTCATACCCGGATAATTCAAAACTATGCAGTAGGGAGATACTTTCATTTATTTAAAATGACTACCTAAGTTTTATAACGGACAGTTTCAATGAAACAATATCCGTATTGTCAGGAATAAGTATGTATTACTTTTATTAAATAATAATATCAAAATTTATATTTATGTTAATAATATCGATAATATGAGGTTTTTATTAAAAAATCTACACCGAATCTTATAAATGTAAAGAATAAAACAGTAATCAGTAAAATTCGTTTTCATTATGTATACATTGAAAAAAGAACCTCGATTAGATTTCCCCCATAACCGTTCGTTTGAAATTTTATAATTAATGTAACCATCTAAAAGAATACATGAAGATTTAACATTATGTTTCATTTGCCGTTGCAGGAATATTGAATCTATGTGCTGGATTTAAAAAAAATACAACATCAAAGGTCTATTTGATATATTGATAATTAGCCGATAATATATAACCGTAAATATGAACAAAATCGCATTTTCGGAAACTCGTCCCAGTGAAACAGAACATCCGGATATTGGAAAAACTTTCAAACGGAAACATTCTGATTCCTTAGATGATAATGAAAATCCCAAAAAGCAAAAAGTAGATCTTGAAAATGAGAAGGCCAAGGAAAACATCGAAGTTAAAAGGGAGGAGTCATTGGAGTCAAATAATGAGGTCTCCACCGAAAATAAAGGAGAGAACGTCATACCAACAAATTCGGAATCAAATGAAAGTAATATCGTTCATTTACAAGATGATGACGCCTTTTGTTTCGTTAAAGAGAATAAACTTAAACCAAATTCAATTATTACTGAAATTGAGAACGGCGAACAGTCAAAAGATTTGGACGACCACTTAATTTCTAAAAATGACGATAAACATTTTGACCAGAATGAAATAATTTGTGAAACGGTACAAGAGAGCGATACTATTAGTCAAACTAGTGATGCCAGTCCAACTACAGAGATCGATACTATAGACAGCAGTACGTCTGAAGTTCCGGATCCCGAACCAATAAAGAGAGAGGAAGCGGTAATATCTAAATAAAAAATTGAATACATATATTGAACGAATAAAACATCTTCAATCATACACACACACACACAAATATATATATATATATAAACAACATTTTCCAAAAGACCAAAAAAGTGAAAAAGTATATTTTTACAAAACGCATTTGACTAGCATGAGGTGCAAAATTTGTACACCATATACGGATTCCGACAATTAATGTTTCTTCAGTGATGTTAGGAATCGAAACGATAATTGGAAGGCCATATAATTTACCTCAATTTAGGATGGACTGTTGAATTTTGAAGAGTCGAAATAGGATGAGGGGATCATATAAACCCGAAAGCAAATTTAATACAAGCCCAAACGAAAAAATATAAACAAGTCTAAATTGACTGCGTTTTGTTAAAATATACTTTTTCACTTTTTTCGTCTTTTTGAAAATGTTGTTTGTGTTGTATTTAGACCCCTCTACCAAGAAATTTGTTTTGCATGCACACGTATAAAAATTGCGGTTTTTATCCAACGCAATCATAGGTTTGAACGTCGTTTTCAATTTAAACATGTATATATGTAACCTATGATTGCGTTGGATTAAAACCGCATTTTCATACGTGTGCATGCAAAACAAATTTCTTGGTAGAGGGTTCACGTATGAACGTTGTTTACAATTTAGACTTATATATATATATATATATATAATCTTTCAATCAGTTTAATTGAGGTCTGGAGTTGGCATGTCAGTAACTGCTAGTAGTCCTTTGTTCATTTATGTATCATTGTCATTTTGCTTAGTTTCTTTTGTTACCTATTCTGACATCGGACTCCGACTTCTTTTAAACTGAGTTTTACTGTGCGTATTGCTATGTGTTTCTTTATTCTACATTGGCTAGAGGTATAGGAGGAGGGTTGAGATCTCACAAAACATGTTTAACCCCGCCGCATTTTTGCGCCTGTCCCAAGTCAGGAGCCTCTGGCCTTTGTTAGTCTAGTATGTTTTTTAATATTAGTTCATTCATATGTTTTGGAGTTTAGTGTGACGTCAATTTTCAGTGAACTAGCACACAATTTTATTTAGGGGCCAGCTGAGGACCACCTCCGGGTGCGGGATTTTCTCGCTTCATTGAAGACTCATTGGTAGCCTTCGGCTGTTTTCTGCTCTTTGGTCGGATTGTTGTCTCTTTGAAATATTCCCCATTTCCATTCTCAATTATATATATATATATGTAAAAGCTTCCATGACAAGCAAAGTCAACACTATTCCATCGAAACTTCCTCTTTAGAGGATTGGATCTGTTGTAGTAGTTAGAACCTCTGTCTTTACATGCTTGACGCATGGTCGTCGAAGGATGTATCATAAGGTTGTAGGTTATTCTCTCGAGATTGAGACTTAAAAATTTTGAGGGTGGAAATTATTGTTACGTATACTGCAAAACTAATTCTTTATTTCAATGAATTTTGTTTAAAATGAAAACTTTTATTCGTTATCAAAATTAACATTCGTAATGAGAGAATTATGTTAAATGTGATATATTATGGTTTTGATTTTAGAAAAAATTTCCAAAGTTGTATAGACTGCTACGAAATGGTGAAAACAAGGACAATGGACTACGAGCCAAAAATCCTGGGTCAAATACAAGCGTGGCAGATCATGTTGCAAATGGAAGCAACGGAAGCTGTTCTAAGTACATCTCAACATGTTCCACTCGTTCCGCAGTAGATAACTGGCTTAGATTAAAAACAAAAAGTAGAAGATACAGAAACGGAATCAAAACGATCGTAGAAATTGATGTCAATAATCTACCTTCAAATGTCTCTATTATTGATCTCACGAGCGAAGAACTCAGAAAACCGTATGAAGTGTGGGATAAAGAAATAAACAGACAATTTCATAGATTTGCAGCCTCCCATGGGGAGGTCTTGCTTGTAGGATCTGTGCCTGCACACTGTCTTGCATATGCATGATATATCACCAGAAATAGATCTCTTAACAGCGACATTCATGTTATTTGTAAAAGGACACTAGCACGGGATTTGGCGAGTTCTGATCAAAATCATAAAGTGATAAATATAAAAAAATATTTGTTTCTTCATCTTTTTCATTCTTTTCGACATGCATTTGAAACTGAAACTTGTGTGTGTTAAATCTTCATTATAATCTCATGTTGTGTGTATTTCATCTTAAAAATAATGCTGTAAAAGCAAATTTACACATTTTTGTAGAATAAAATACTTCGTGAATTTTAAGTCTTTATTTTTGTTTTGACTAAAATTCCTATCTACAGTTTATATTTGAATTGAGAGTCATTGTTTGATCATTCTTTCAAACAAGATAGAAGGGTAAAAGAATGCGGTGTTTTTTTTTTTACAATAACCACCCATTTTAGTTGTTATCAAATGTCTTATTGATTTCATTCAATTAGCAACAATTATCCAAGCAATCGTATCCTTCCACATTTTTAAAGACAAACGTTATAAGAGAAAGAGGGTTCTTGTTGCTCAGTCTGTAGTTTTCTGTGTTGTGTTTTGTATTTTGTTGGTCGTTTCCCGTTATTTGCCATTGCGTTGACATTTTGTAATCGACTGTGGTATCTTCAGACTCTGTACCTTTATAGTTACTTTTTGAAACAAACTTTTCATATTTCCAATCGCACGTTCAGCAATTGTTTGTTTCCATCCTGTGAAACCCCATGAATCATTTCGATAATATCGTCTTTTGAAACGGATCTATAGTTATTTATGCTATTTCATTTTTACGAAACATATGACATACCATAATCAAAGGGAAACCCGCCAACTTTGCTGCGTTCGATTCGCTACCTTTAAGTAGCTTCAGTAGATGAAATAATTCCCTAAATTCTGATTTTGGATATATTTTTATTCATTTTGAAAAACATTGTCACTGACAAGGTTCACTGTGTTGAAATTCTATTAGTATATATCTCTCATTAGAAAAGATAATATCATCAATCCTTTTGTCGATGCTTCGCCACAGACGTGTTTTATCATAAACATTTCTCATATTTTCCTTTAATAAATTTGAAAATTATTCAAAACTAAGGTCCCAACTTCAGTCAAAGATCGTATGCCCTTTTTATCATAAAATTCGTCTCTTATTTCTACAACGGCTTTCGATGTTTTTGTTTGAGAGATCCTAATAAAAGTAAATCCCAAAAAGGACTTCCGACGCACTAAATTTATAATGTGATTTTCATTTATCATCTGAAGATAATTGAAAAATCTGAACACATGCTGTGAGAACAAGAAAATATGTAAAGAATTCCATTATGTGTTTCATTGAAGATGGCATTTCAACGTCATAAGTATACTAAATTCCACTGCTCATCATGAAAAACAAACAGTTAAAAACAGGTAACAGTTTTGAATGTAGGACATTTCTGTAAATTTATAATTATAATAATTATGTGTTCATGGTTAATTCTCCGTAGTTAACATTATCTATAATGATATATTCAGGGGCAGACCCATAAACTCCTTTGACTGGGAGGGAACACAAAGGTCGAACAAAAAAGGGATATAGGGAGTACATAAAGAGTTATTGGTGGACTTCAAACATATCCTCCGAGAGTACTACGGTCCACATATAAAAAGGTCTCAGTTTCTCTGTATAAGGGTGTGATTCCTCAACAAAAGTCGCCTGTTTGGCAGCGATATATGAATACACACGAACAGCCATGTCCGCTGGATATAAGGACGATGAATCTGATTCTATGTGTAAGAAAAGTGTCACTCTCTTTGCATGAGAAATAGCCTTTTAAAAAAGCTGTAAAGATTCCGTAGTTATCCCATCTCAGGACGATATGGTTGCTCTTATCCAACGTGTCATAGAAATTCTGTGCGTTGCTGACATCATTTTCATTACTAGTATTTAACAAAGGTTGTATAAACCATGATACATGTATATGTACAATTGTTGTATATTTGATATATTTAAAAGAGGAATACAAAACATTTTTCAATTGCAAAGCGTAAAAATAATTCTGACATAAAGACTAGGCTACTACTCAAGTCACCATGTAAAGATAGCTGTAAAAAGTAATTACTAAACTTACTTATCCACATGGAATGATTGAAATAGTTCGTTTTCGATCCAACATTTTCCCTGTGAATAGTTTACTCAACATATATCATGCTCAGATTTTCGTGTGTCCGAAGTGTTTTCTGGAGTTTTCTTCATCAGGAACGCTCACAACCATATATTTGAAAGTCCGTGATGTAAAAATACATAGAAACAATAGGTGCTATTCATGATTACCTTCATCAAGCTATTACTAAATGCCGCGAGATCTTTCTTTAGGGGACCAGCAAAAAGTTTCCGTACATAAAAACATGCAATATTAATTAAAATAGGAATTGCGCTGAACTTATTAATAACGTCACAATAAATAACAAAAGAGTATAAAGGATGATACACAATACCTAATCACCACCGGTTTTTTGGAGGGGGTTCGTGTTGCTCGGTCTTTAGTTTTCTATGTTGTGTTTTGTATGCTGTTGTTTGTCTTTTGGTCTTTCTTCTTGTTTTGCCGTGGTGTTGTCGTTTATTTTTTAATTATGAGTTTGAATCACGTAGTTTGAATGTCCATTTGTTATCGTTCGCCTCGAGCTCTCTTTATCAATGAAAGCTTGTAGGGTAAATGAAAGTAAGCTCGAAGTACTGAATTTGCTGAAATTAAATCTTACCCTCTTTACTCTTAATCTAATATAAGTTGTAGTACTACTGGGTGGATTTCATACAGTAAATTCAGAAACAGATCAGGGAGACACAATTTGGTGAATTGATCAAAATCAAAGTACACTTTTTTTCTGTAAAATCTAAGAAACGTTTTGTCATGTTTAAAGTTATAAATTAGCTACTGATGTTAATCCCAAAAATATGCCAGATGAAATGATTGAAAAACAACACTGTAATTATAGAATGCATCAATAAGTATAATAAACCAAGAGGACAGATTTAAAAGGCAAGTTCTATAATTGTAAGCTATACAAATAATATTGTTATCAAATTCGGGGTGTGAAATGCTACTTTTGATTCCTGCAAGTGGAACGATACTTTCATGATAAATCAGTATAATTTTTATTTGTGATATCTATTTCATTGATGTAAAGGTTTTTAGTAGCGAAACGTAATTACGTTCATTCATTTCCTAGACTGAAAATGCTCTAATCGAACAGAAATATGGACTAGATTGAAGTGACTGAAAATGTACTGCATATAAGAATGAACCATTGGATATCGCCATCAAGGAATGCAAAATTGGTAAACGATAAGGAAACTTCGTTCCATTCATTATAGTTATTGGTATATGAATATAACTATTGAAATTTTTTAGGGTCTAAAACTGGACACCAATTACTTAGCTATATATATATATATAGTAAAACGTCTGAATAATAGTCAACGATTTTTCCCACGAGGGCGCTGGATCGTTACGAGTAACGATACACGTACACAATAAATAAATTATATAAACGCCTAAAAAGTGTACACAACAACACCAATAACAAAAAAAGGAACAATAAATGTAATTATTTATAAATATTTCGGATAACAGATATCCTTCATCAGTAAATATGATTGTGATGTTGAATGAATCATATATCAGTCTACTTAGATTAAACTATACAAATCTTGAAATTTATACAATAAAAATGTCAAACCGAACATCAGGTAAGACGCTTGCACAATTCTAAATATGTGTTAAACACGACATAGGTTATATGACTAATTACAACAGAGAGTTCAAATATATGCTTTAAATAAAAATAATAATGTGCGATATGAACTAGCACAATTCTAAAGCTTTAACGGTGACGACAGTTATGATGTTACAAGAACGATTGCGTCAATAAGAATTCCAAATAAACAGCACTGAACGATCTAAATTTGTAAATATTTCAAATTTGACAACGGTAGAGTAGTTGCAACAGAGTCTGTGTATTTAAACATCGCAAACAAACGGCCGTTAAAATATAATAATAAATTTTGACTAAGGTTAACTAGTTGAACGTGGCTTGGTATTTTTACATCCCTCAAAAAATTAAGCAATTTAAATTGGTATATTCAACAGATTTATTTTAGAGATGAGTAAGGTAAAGAAATAGAAACAGAGACTGTAATAAAAAGTAATACAACCCAAATGTGAAGCACTGCATGGAGTCGAACTACATCTTTTCATTTATCCCATTTGGTGCCAAAGTTGTTAATTTTCTTATCCAAATTCTTTCCCGAGTGAGTCTATCCTCCCTAGACCAAGCAGAGTTGTGGTCAATGATTGTAATGGTCAGTCGATTGAGATCTGCCTTAGTGTGGCCAGGGGATCTCAAATGTCGACTGAGAGGGAGGTCTGGCTTGCATTGGTAGTCGCTACGATGACCGTTCATTCGTTTGTGAAACGGCTGTTCTGACTCGCCAACATACTGTTTACCACATTTACACTGTAGGAGATACACAACATTTGTAGTCTTGCAATTAACATTGCAAAATATGGTGTATTCTGTACCAGTGGAGTGACTGTTAAAAGTCTGGGTAACCAGTATTTGTTTGCAAGTCAGACATCGTTTGTTTCCGCAACCCTTGCAAGAGCCCACAGACGAAGAGCCTGCTTGAGAGGATAAATCAGCTCTCACCAGCAAGTCTTTAAGGCTTTTGGGCCTACGGAAAGCCAGTACAGGTGGCCTAAAACATCGGGGCTACAAAAGAAAAGACATTGATAAAGGTTTTTCTCGTGCTAACAACATCAGCCGAGATGAACTTTTACAATATAAAGTCAAAAAGGTCAACAGGAGGGTGCCTTTTGTGTTGACTTACCATCCTAAATTTGACAACTTATCTCACCTAATCCGCGAAAATTGGAAAGAAATCAAAAAACATCCTAAACTATCCAAGATCTTTCCCGAGCCACCTGTACTGGCTTTCCGTAGGCCCAAAAGCCTTAAAGACTTGCTGGTGAGAGCTGATTTATCCTCTCAAGCAGGCTCTTCGTCTGTGGGCTCTTGCAAGGGTTGCGGAAACAAACGATGTCTGACTTGCAAACAAATACTGGTTACCCAGACTTTTAACAGTCACTCCACTGGTACAGAATACACCATATTTTGCAATGTTAATTGCAAGACTACAAATGTTGTGTATCTCCTACAGTGTAAATGTGGTAAACAGTATGTTGGCGAGTCAGAACAGCCGTTTCACAAACGAATGAACGGTCATCGTAGCGACTACCAATGCA